TATTCTCTTTTCCTGAGAAGTTGAAATATACTTACAAATAAGTATTTTCTTCAAGACTTCTCTACTTCCTAGGTTATAAACCTTCCTGTTTGTTGGATTTGCTGGTGGTTTTTCATGCCATATACTTTTCTGTCTATACCCGAATGACAGTTTGGTTAGTTATTAAAAAATAGTAACACCCTCAGTTGGAGGCCTTTGTAGCCATCACTCTCCTCTTGTCAAATGCTGCCATGGAGATGTCAAAAGCTAGCATACTTCTTTTCCCTTTACAAATGGCTTCATGTTTTCCCCTGGCCATCCAGGGATTCTTTATCTTTATTGTTCATATTATTCTTTATATTAGTATTGATTACTCTCTACCAAATTTTCTTGGAACATGATGTGCCCTTGATTATATAGATTCAAAGGTATAATTTAGGAAAACTCAAATTTTGTAGAATTACTTTTTTTTTTTTTTTTGAGACAGATTCTCATTCTGTTGCCTAGGCTGGAGTGCAGTGACGTGATCGCAGCTCATTGCAACCTCTGCCACTTGGGTTTAAGCAATTCTCCTGCCTCAGCCTCCCTAGTAGCTGGGATTACAGGCATGTGCCACTATGCCCAGCCAACCTTTGTTATTTTTAGTAGAGATGGGGTTTCACCATGTTGGCCAGGCTGGTCTCAAACTCCTGACCTCAAGTGATCCACCTGCCTCAGCCTCCCAAAGTGCTGGGATTACAGATGTGAGCCACCACGTCTGGCCTCATTTCAGCTTTCATTTTATTTTTTTCACTCTAACCCTTTACCTCTTCACTTCCATTTATTTTTGTTATTCTCCCTTATGCTGTTTCACCTTTTGCTTCATTTCTATATTTTCTACTTCTTTTCTGGGGTCTTCAAACTTAATTTCTTTACTTTTTCCTACCTGATCCCTTCTAAGTCATGATCTTGTTTGTATCAACAATCACTTGTTTTAGTTGTTACAAATTGGCTGCAGTGTTTATCCTCATGATGGCAACATTTTGAGAGAAATGGCTGCCTGCCTTTGCTTTTCTTGTTCTTCGCCTTTTTCCTTTGTGTGGTGCCTATGCTGTTTCTTCTTCTTACCGTCAAGTATGCTTTTTCTGATCTAGCTATCTGGAAGAATTTAATATAGGTCCAGGCACAGGAATTGTCCTTGTGGTGACATAAGTTTGAACGTGAGTATTCTGAACCTTTTCTTCTTCACAGCCTAGTCATCCAAGTATCTCAGGCAGACATTTTCTGCCATGTGGTTTGTTAGGGTGTTTCCTCATTCACCCCCACTTCCTTTGCAACTCTGAAGCAGACATGGTCCTAGAAAACTTCAGTGCCAGCCCTTCCTTCTGGAGAACTCTGGCTTTTACACCGAGGCTATGCTCTCTCTACTCCATTCTCCTGGTCCCCTTTAGGCAGCCTCTGAAACTGACGATTCAAGGTGTCACTTGTCTCTTAATTTTATCAGAGGTTCATCTGTCCCTAGCCTCTGTGAGCCAGCTTCCTTATAGGTCAACTGCAGATATTTCCTACCTTGCCCAATTGTGAGGAGCCGAGAACATGTACGTAACAGCAGCAATTCTCAAACCACTGGCATGCCATTCGTGGCTGACTTGTTTTCCTGATTAACCTTTTCCTCCCCCCTTTCAGGCAGCTACTGCACGTGCTTAGACTGCTGTCACGTGCTCCACTGCCTCCGCACTTGTTGTTCCCTCTGCCTATTGGCTTTCCTGGCAACTCTGGTCTTGTAACCACCATCACAGCCTTGCCATCCCTGGTCCGCAGACACCCTGTCCATCCCTCCAAGTTGGCATTTGTCAGTCCAAGTCACAGGGTGAGGACCTTTGTACAGTCACCATATAGCATGAAGAGGCTCTAATAGAAGTTGTTGCATAAATGGAAATGAGTTTTCCACACTCCTCAGTGTATCTTGCCCTACTGTTAAGAGCTACAGGCATCATGTCTCCAATGGGAAACAAACTAGCCCTTTAAAGGGGTGGTGCCCTGCAAATTGTCAGGGAAGGATTTGACCAGCTACCAGTGGTATACTTCTCTACCACCACCCTGCCGTAACCGCCCCCCACCACCAGAACATATTGGAAAATGGCTATTTTACTGAACACGTTTATTTCTTCCTACCTCCCGTAAACTAGGTTCAATGACCTCCTCCTGCGATGCCGAGAACTCGATACTTGGACACAAGACCTTGCCCTTCCGGCTGTCGTGTGGCTCTCTGGCTTCTTCAACCCTCAGTCCTTCTTAACGGGTAAGGGCTGAGGCAGTGCAGTCCCTGATGCAGACAGGACCATACCCTACCAGAAGCCCTGCCCTGTTTACCTATGATGGCATCTCCTTGCCCTGCTAACCAATCCTCAAGCAGCAGCCATTACAGAAAGGACCAGCAGCTACAGAGGAAACAAAGTCCTGGACAGGCGAGTAGCAGCAGGAGGGAAAGGGCCTCCTATAGCAGCAAGAGCAGCCAAGTGAGGTGGGGCACGGTGTCCTCTAGTAAACATTTTCTGGAAAGGGCCGCATAGCTACTCTATTGTAGTGCAAAAACCACAGACAATACACAAATGGCTGTGGCTATTCCAATAAAACTATTTACAGAAACAGCGAGCTTGTCCTGCAGGCCTTAGTTGGTCAAAGCCTGCTGCAGCGCAGCCACGTGCAAATGCCCAAGAACCTAAAACACCCTATGGGACTAAAGGATGCCTCAATTTACTGGTAGCTCCTGGGAACCTTACATGCAACATTTTTATCCTATTCAATGTTTATGTTTCCAAAGCAATCATGCAGACGATGGCTCGAAAAAATGAGTGGCCACTGGATAAAACGTGCTTGACTGTTGATGTTACCAAAAAAACAAAGGAAGATTATGGCCACCCGCCAAGGGAAGGTGCATACCTCCACGGACTCTTCATGGAGGGTAAGACACCCCAAGGAGTAAGTGGGGAACCTTTTCTTACTCAGGTTCAGATCGGTTGTTTGTCCTCTTACTGTTGCTCAGCATCTCCTCACTCACACAGTAACCTTATGCTAGTCATTATCTCATTTCTTCCACTTAAATTTTGCAAATATATCTGGGTGGTAATGCCACTGAATAACTTTAGACTTAGACCGAATTCACATTATTTGGCTTTTCAATATAATCATTTCAAAATCTTTTTTCTACTGTTTAAAAACTGTCCGTAAATTTGCTCTAATATTTTACTACAAGACTTCTCTAAGCCTTGAAGATGCAACTGTGTAGGGTGAATCTCTGAGAGGGGGCTACACTATGCAATATTTTCCAAATTTATCTGGCCACGTATTTATTCTATAGGACATTTAGTCCCTACACCAAGATGTTCCTTTTTCACTTTAAAGCAAGTGCCACAAGTTCTGACATAAATGAACGACTGGAACTTGGTGTAAGAGAGTAAGGTGCGACGGGGAGGGAATGTGTTGAACTGCAGATTTAAAGGGAGGGCAAACTAGTTTAATGTATGTGAATTCTGTTAGAATCCCACTTCATAAAATCAGCTTACTTCCACAGGAAAGTTTAGCCACTAAGCATGGAAGCAAAGCGGCGCCTCCACTGCAGGCAGGGTAACCTACCTGTCAAAGCTCAGTCTGGCCAGCTCAGTAAAAATACCACTGACAAGCAAAAAAATCTGACAAAAACCAGAATGTTTATTGCATCAAACAACTTGATCATCAGTAGCAACCTGCCACACAATTGCAACCATTGTGTTTTTGCTATAGGCGCCCGCTGGGACACCCAATCAGGAACCATTGTCGAAGCCCGTCTCAAGGAGCTGACATGCCCTATGCCGGTCATCTTTGCAAAAGCCACCCCCGTGGAGAGACAAGAAACGAAACAGACATATGAGTGCCCTGTATACAGAACCAAACTGAGAGGCCCCAGCTACATCTGGACCTTTAGGCTGAAGAGCAAAGAGAAGACCGCAAAATGGGTTCTAGCCGGAGTGGCTCTGCTGCTAGAAGTGTAAGAACTCTAGCCTCGGCTGGAGTGCAGTGAGGATTTTCTGTTGTGTTGCTGCACTGTTCCCATGCACATTAATGTATTCTATTACAACTTTTTAGTAACTCACACGTGCATTGTTTTTTCAACGCTATCCTTAAAAAGTGAAGAAAGGAGAGTGAAAATCAGACAAAATATTAGAAACTTATTCAGGGCTGAGCACGGTGACTCACGCTTGTAATCCCAGCACTTTGGGAGGCTAAGGCAGGTGGATCACGAGGTCAGATCGATACCATCCTGGCTAACATGGTGAAACCCCATCTCTACCAGAACTACAAAAAATTAACAGAGTGTGGTGGCACACAACTGTAGTTCCAGTTACTCAGGAGGCAGAAGAATCGCTTGAACCCAGGAGGCAAAGGTTGCAGTGAGCCGAGGTTGCGCCACTGTACTCCAGCCTGGGCAACAGAACAAGACTCCATCTCAAAAAAACGTATATCACATCTGAACATGCAAAAGCAATGCAGCCAGAAAGAAGGGAGATTTTAGTTCTTAACCAATTAAATTAAAAATTATTAGCCCTTAAACTCTTTCAAAATATAAAAGCAGCAGGCCCCAGGTGAGTCCTGAAGGAAGAGGCTAGCACTCTGTGAGGCCTCCAGTGTCTACAATGTTGACGGTCCCCTTTTGTTCAGTCAAGTTTTAATAAAACTGTTCTGCAGTTAATTGCACTTTGTTCAGTGTAAATTTTCAATGACCAAGAGCAGGTTAAACGATGTGTGTGGTCTATTAAACTGTGGTCACTTGTGCTAAGGCAAACTTGGCCTGGAGTTACTGTTTGGGAAGCCAAAGATAGATCAAGGCAGGAGCTGCTCATACAATGTTTTCTCTCTAACTTATCCAAACTTTAACCCCACCCCATTTAAACTGTGCTTTTTAATCACTGAACAAAGTTCAGTATACAAATAGGTCTGTGCATACATCTATATAGATTCCTCTGCTCTGCTGTCTTCCTGAGAAATCTTTGTAAGCATATAAACAATCTTAAAAAAAATAGTATTTAGAAACGGTAATCTCTACAAAGAATTTCCGTATAAAAACACAACCGTAAAAAATCTTAGGCACAAATGGTATGCATGTCTTGTTGGAGTACTCTATGGTTAGGTGGCTGGTTCTGTTTTCCTCTTAATTGTCTTCTACCAGCTCCTTTTGTAAGCTGAGAAAAAGATGAGAAATATTTGGTAAGTAATTAGTACAAAGCTTGAGAGGTTCTATAATCATCTAAGAGTACAAAGCCAGAACCCAGATCTCCTGACACTCGAAATCCTGACATTTTCTGCATCAATATCGGTACACCCTCCGGTACAGTACGCTCAAAGCACGACTTGCCTCACTCCCGCATTCCAGAACCACGATTCAGAGTTTATCACATTAATGAAACTTGTAGCTCACATTCTGTCCTCTTGCCCTGAACTCTCTCTCTGCACTAGGATTATGGCTGCCTTTTCATAATCTGTGTCGTTTCCCCTCAGCCTGCCTTGTTTACTCCTTCCATTTCTGTCATACACCTCAAGGAGAAATTTTGGTTACAGGCAACATGGAGTTGAGTTGAAAAATCTAGCAAAGGAGAATATTCCCTAATAGGGAAAATATCAGGCCTGAGCTTTTCCAATGCAAAGAGATACAGAATAGATGGCACTCGTGGTTTATATAAGTCACAGAGGAAGGCAACAACTATTTGCCAAGAGGATCGCCCATGCTCAGCCTCGGGATTTCAAGCTGTTTTTAAGCTGCTAGAGACTTACCTCTCCAGATATTCCTTAACATTGTTATAACCATAAAACTTGGCCAGATGAATGAGGATTCCTGTGGCACAGCGGCCATCACGCTTCCGACAGTAGCTGCAATTGCAGATCCCACGACAGGGGGGACACACCCAATCCTAACAGAGAGATGACAGCAGACACTTCGCTCATTATCTACAGGCTCTGGCAAGAACTGGGATTCGGATCCAGACTGGCTCAGCTGGCCTCTCCTCCAACCTTTAATCACATGGCATCTTTCAGTCTACGTCCCAGGGGGCTCCTCACGAGGCAGGAAGGCTGATCACCCCACGTCACATGCAAACACTGAAAAATGACACCTTTCAGGGCTCCCAGCTTAAAAATTATGGAGAGTTTCACAAGCATTTGGCCAAGCACAGGGCCCTGTGTGAGTGTGCAGGTCACAGGCCTAGGATGTCAGCCCTGGTTTAGGAACACAAGGTTTCCAAAAGATCAAGGTGTGAATTTCAGCCCTTTCAATGTGTGCTTATTGTTGAATGACTAACCTGAGCAGCAGTTTATGCTAGTCAATTGAGGACGATATATTTACCCCATGACTGCTGCCTAAGATGCCACACTTGGGAGCAGGACTGCCCCAGGCTCAAGGTCGTACTTACTCACCATGATACTATGTCTCATTTTACCAAGGGAGCTGAGAGAGAGACAGGTTATACACCTATTTCATGGGATTAAACGAATTTATAAGAGTGAGCGACAGCTTGCACAGTGCCAGGCACACAGAAAGCACTCAATATTGCAGTGTACACCTCCCTCTCAGCCTGGCCCAGAAAAACAAATGAGAGGGAAATCACTTTGCTGAAGGACAGGTACAGGGATTACTTGTTTAAAACTAGAGGACTGTAAGCAAGTTTTGCTCTGACAATGGAAAATCTAACAAATTCTTCTATTCACTGGTCAGCTTGCTCTCTTTCCAGAATGAATCCCTATTTTTCATTTTCCCTGGAGCCTTAAGACACAAATGGAAGGGAAAAACCAGAGTTCTGGACCTCCCAGTTCCCAGTGAGAACCCAGGAAGCCCATCCTCAGCTTGCTTCCTTCATCAATACAATTTACAACAAATGCAAACACTGCACCTACCGGGTCCAGCAACGCTGACCTGACATCCTCCCCATAGCGGTTCCGCAGGCATGGTCCACAGAACTGTCCTCGCACACCACAGCAACCCTGGTTCCGACACACTGTCTTGGTGTCGATGGTCTTTTGGCGACACTGATGGCACGTGTTACCCTACGGGGGGAAGGCAGTGAGCAGGTGAACACAGGGATATTCTGATGCCCACTGAGGCCAGATGCCATCATGTGCATTTCCAAGTGTATGAAGAAGTACCACCTGTCTCCTCAAATGAAGCAGGACTGTTTTCCTAAGAACCATAGCATCGTCTCTAGACAAGGGGTACCGAGCCCCCAGGCTAGAACCAGTCTGTGGCCTGTTTGGAACCGGGCTGCACAGCAGGAAGTGAGCAGCGGGTGGGCGAGCATAACCGCCTGCGCTCTGCCTCCTCCTGTCAGATCAGTGGCACCATTAGATTCTCATAGGAGCACAAACCATCTATTGTGAATTGTGCATGTGAGGGATCTGAGTTGTGTACCCTTTAAAAGAATCTAATGCCTGATGATCTGAGGTGGAACAGTTTCATCCTGAAACCATCCCCTGCCCACCCCGCAAATCCATGGAAAAATTGTCTTTCACAAAACCAGTCCCTGGTGCCAAAAAGGATGGGGACTACTACTCTAGAATGTAACCATCACAGGTCTGTGGCCAGAGAAGCTTATTAGGTCAGATGAGGCTGAGCAGAGACCCAGAAGGAATGAAATGATCAGGCTGTCAGGAAGAGAGACCAGAGAAAAGCTTAAGTCAGGGGTGGCAGAGCCCCTGAAAGGTGACAAGTGACTGAGTGGCAATGAGCCTTGGGTGGCATCACCTTGGCCCCAGCCTACCTCTGCACACCTGCATATCGTCAATGTGAAATCTATTTATTTTTTTTAATATTGACAACTAAATTTAAAGCATTTTAATACTATCTTGACAGTGGCCCATTATCCAGAAAAACACAAAAAAATGCAAAACACAAAGCCTCCCTCTAAATCACCATTTACAAGAAATGTAACCTGTTTCCTACCAGATATTCTGCCAAACTTTATTTTCTATGGTTATATTACCCCCCAAATACACTAACTTTTTTCAGTATTTAAAACATAAAACTATATAAATATTTAAACCATAAGTCACATACAAAAATCCCTTTTAAACTATACCCTTCCCTTCCCCCAGACTGTACGCATCCCTAAGAGAGACTGCTGTCCTGATGGGAATTACTGCACTAGGCTGCCTCCCAGGTACAGCTGACCCTTGACCCTCCAATTCAGAACCTGGCTCTGAGCCCTTGGTGAGATGGCATAAGCCCTGATAGAGTTTAAAAACAAGTGAGATTTCAAATAGCAATGCTTTAGACTCCTAATAAGAATGACAATCATGCAAATTACCCATAAGATATAATTTACCAGAACTTTATCATAGATTTTATCTCGAACAGTTATGGCAACATTTTCTAAGTCTTCTTCGGTGATATCCTCCACTGGCCGAAAAGAAGATATACGGTGACGTCGTCTATACTCCCGGCATTTCCCCTGCACAGTGAACACAGGCAGAACCTGGAGTGAGATGTTTTGAGCAGTTATAAAAAAAATTATAAATATTTTAAACTCTCAAAGATCCATTAATGTTAACCCTGTCCCTCTTCTATTTCCCTGCAGCCATTTCATTTAGTTATTTACTGAGCTCCTGCCACCTGCCAAGCTTCCTTCTCAGCAAGGCGATACAGTCATGAAGGAGAAAATCAAGGTTTTTGGTTCTTTGCTGTAAACTCTGTGAAGAGGTGAACCACACTGATCAGCTAAACCCACAAATGAGTCCAAAGTTTCTCCCTCCAAACTGAAATCGCTTGAAATGCCTCATGCCTAAAATAGAAAGGCAAGGAGGAATCACTGCACTTTTCCACGAAGTGGACACCACAAAGCTAACTGGAGCTGTGGACAGGCCTTTACTGCCTGCAGCAGAGATCCAAGCAGGGTCCTAACAAATGAGCTGCTTCTCAGCTCGGCTTGGATAAAAGACTCTCTCTGTGACCTCCAGCTTAGACCAGGGCTGCTTCTCAAAGTATGATCTCGGGAGCAATGGCATCACCTGGGAAGCAGATAGAAATACAAGTTCTCAGCTGCTGCAGACCCACAGGGTCAGAAACAGCCCTGGGGTGACAGTGATGTGCGTTCACGTTTGGAGGAACGGTAGCTCAGACAAAACGAATTCACGTATTAGTCAGAAAATACCCCACTAATTGTCTTCCTTCTTCGGAAGCTGTAAAACTCTTCTGCAAATTTGGCGGCTGAGACAGTGAAGTTCTCTAGAGCAAACTTCTCAGGAGGCCGTGCACTCCGGGTCGGGTTCATGCGCCGCGTGATCTGTCCCTCCGAGAAGGTTCGCCTCACTGTTTTCTTCCTCTGAAATCAAGAGCACAGACAGAGGCAACTGGGGACTCTCTTGAATAAAAGCCATCTGGTGGCTGATCACCATATATCAGTATTGGTATAATTATAAGGAGTTCTACTTACAGAAGCTGAGGTCGGGGTTCGTACTGGGAAGAAATCTGGCATTGAGTTCAATTCCGCCAATAACTGGGCAAGCTGAAGTTCAGAACATAAGAAAGGATCTACATAAATAGTGCTCCAGGGTTAGGTCATCCAACACCTATCTCAAGTCTTCCATTTTGCTATCATAAGAAACCTAACTTGAATAGTTTACATAACCCACAACAGTTATACTTTTAACCTCACATGTAAAGATTTTATCTCCAGACCTGAGATGCTGATGTCATCATTCATATGAATGAACACTAGCCTATTCCTTATATATAAGGACAACACAACACCAGGAAAACAGTCCTGGAATGATCAAGACCTAGAGCATGAGGTTCCGATCCTGACTCGGAGGCTAATCCAAGGCAGTGTGACCCTGGGACAATTCATTTTGCACATGTGAGTCTCAAGTTTCAGGATGTTCAAAAAAGAAAAAGCTCAATTAAGATTATTTCGATGGTTAGAGCGCCAAAAATCTGATTCTTTAAATAAATTATCAAAGTAATTTATGAAGATATTCCTAAGTGAACAACTAATAACACCAAATAATAGGCATTAATATGCCAGAGAATTTAATTAGGATTCATTTTAGTTTATACAATTATATGAGTGCCACCAAAAAAATCATAAAGAAAATAGCTCTTACTTTAAAGATGTAGATGGATACAGTGCTGAAAATTTCCCTTAGCTAAGTAAAAATGTTTCTTAGGATAAAAATAACCCAAAAGTAGGCATTCCATTTTTGTAATTTATATTAGACATATAAGCTTGCATATACAGTATCACTACATCATTATTTTTTTAAAAGGAAAAGATTAAAAAAACACAAAAATGCTAAAAGTGGTAAGTGGTAGAACTATTTAAAAAAAAACTCTGTAGATAAGCAATTGTGAAGCAAACAATGATTCTCTACAATGATCAGATTAACAGTAACTGATTACATATAGAAAAACCAAATATATGTAACAAAGATTTCACCTTGTTCCATTCGTTGTTCTAATGAAGACATTTTAGAGTGAATTAACACTGTTGAGGTTGTTTTAATTCCTAGACCTCTTCCATTCCTTGAGAAGTCTCAGAACCAGGGCCGGTCACCACAGAAGAGTGGTTCCATGGTGAAAAGCTACCTGCCCAACCTGCTCCTCACAGCTCCTCAGTGGACTTGGTGACATCCCACTTCCCCTGCTTTACTCTGCTGGGAACAGGCCAGTTGTTCAGCCCCTGTCATCCCCAACACAACTATATACTTAGAACTTAGCTTGGTCAACAGTAAGCAGCATGATGGCACCATGTAAGGGCTAAAAATGGTCCTGGGGATTCTCTTTCTGTTCCCAAACCAGAGCTGATCATGTAACAGTCGCTCTGGGTTCTGGAAAAGAAAAAGGATACACAATACCCAGAGTACATTTTCCTGACAGAAGCCAAAGCAACAGCAGCACCTATAGAAGCAAAGTGGTTCAAAGTGGTTCTGGGAGCCCAGCAACTGCTGCCAGAGCCTGATGCCAACTCCCAAGGCGCCCTCCGTGAAGCCTCACCATGGCTTTGTTCTCCTTGATGTTCATGGTCCTTTTCAGCAGAGCATCCGAACTCTCCTGGCTCTCATCCCGAGAGTCGTCCTCAGACTCAGAGGTAGAATCTTCCCTTTGCATCACCTGTCTACGGCCTTTCTTTCTTCCAAGAACTGTTTCTTTCTCATTCTGTAAGCGTGAGCTAGAAAACAACTGCTCGGAAGAACTGTTTTTATCTGGTTTGTTAGCCAGCTTCTTGGTGGGGAACTGAAAGGCTACTCGAAGACCAATACTACTTCTTCTAGACCTGCTTCTTCTTGGGGTAGCCTTATCTTCTTTTTCATCTTCCTTTTCCTCACTCACCAAAGATGCTTTGCCATCATCACTCAAATCTGACTCCACGACCTAATAAGAGCAAGAAAAAGCACAAAGACACTGTTACAGACCCACAAAAAAGACATGCATTTAAAACAACTCTGACAGCATATGAGAAAAAACATGAAAAATGAAAAGCTTTCCCTTCATATTATGAGTTCCCTCTGAATTTCCTTTAAATGTCCAAGAAATTGGTTGATGAATAAAATCAAAGAGCAGGCAACCTACTACCGAACAGTGCACTGTCATACCCATGACAGAACTGGGTTTCATTGGGAGCGTGAGGGCTGTAAGCGAAACACTGACAGGGTGGGCTCCTCCACCGAGGGACGACCAAGGAGCGCCAGCAAGAGGAGAGACAGTCACAAAAAAGGGTATGCCTGACAGATGTGATCTTCAGACAGGAAAGGGTGCTATGGGGGGAAAATGCTGACTGGTCTCCTCTAATGCAGGAACCAGACTCCTGAGTAACGGGGCGGGAGAGCTGACTGCACCTCAGGGCAGTGACCCAGGACAGGCAGATGACCTGCCACTGGGTCCTCAGTCAAGGGGCACCTTTCCCTTCCCTGGAACCCTCAGAGCCATGAGGTGAAACCAGGTCAGGAACCTCGACAGGTTGTAGCAAAACACCACTCAGTAAACTCCATAAATCCTCACCTGACGTGTTCAAATTCCACATGGTAGAGGTCTCCAGCATTCAAACATTGCTCCGTTTTACAAGTGAGAACACAGTAAATATGGAAGGCAGTAACAGGGTTACATCACCTAGGTGACGGCTTAGATGTGACGGGACTTTTAGTGGTACAGAGACAGGTTTAAGTATGTGAGATCCAGGACATCTTCTGGGCATCCTTCCATGACCACAAGTTAGAAAACTTTGGGAACCATTATCTGGGAATTCTGAAAATCTACCAAGAGCGTGGAATGGCACCAATATGGGCCCAGGATCAGTTCAGGGACTCTGCTTCTTCCCCAGTGACCACCACCAACCCCAAATTCTCGTTGGACTAAAGTTAGAAATAAGACAGAGGGAGAAAAAAAATGCAGATAACTGCCAACCCTGGTATATCCACACCAAGCCAAGTGAGAAAAAAGACTATACGGCACTGATTTACCTATTTTTTTTAATACCCTGAACTTTCCATATTAATAGCTTCAGAATTCAAAATGGTGTACGGCAAAGGAACCCAATTTTAGGGGATACTGTCAGGAAAGAACTTCAGTTTTGATCTATTTATCTACCATCCTCATCATCTACAGGCCTCTCCTTAACAGATGTAGAACGGCTCACTACAGAGGCCTGAAGGAAGGAAAGAACAAATTGTCCACAGCAGCCCAGAATCAGACCCGACAGAAGAGCACAAGTCTAGCACGTGGTTGTGGCTATTTCGCATCCGGCCAGCAGACCCCTGGAAACCAAGGTTACAGCACTATCCCATTATCAGGAAAGATAGGCTCGCCAGTTCCCACAGGGGTGGGTAGGGGGCTGGGCTGGGAGGCAACAATGCTTTTCTTCTCACTGGATTCTAAAATAAAATTTGCAGGGGCCTGTGCTGAACTGTAAGCTATATCATGATCTATGTAACACGTCACAGTCCACAGACTTGGGGGCAGGTGGGAGGGAAGACTTCTGGGGTAATTCACTTTCTCTCACTAGAAACACAAATGCTTCAAATAACCAGACATCACTTCACTAAAGAACAGAAAATAAGTACGTCGCTAACAAATGATGCCCATTAGGGTTTTAGAAGGATTTTAATATCGTGCTGGCAAAAAACTGGGGACTTGCTGGCCAGAACTGATGAACTGCCACACAAACAGCTTCTGCAAAGAAAGCCAAAGGAGACCTGGGGCCTCCAGGCTGGCACAGCTCTATGTTGCTACTCATAGCAAAAAATCACCATCAAACAAAGCAGCCTACCATGTGGGCTTTTATGCTCTACATTCTCTCCTAGGACAGGTGAAGGATGAGACAGGCCTAGGAGTCACAGCTTATTTAACCTCTGCAGAGTCTCTGCCAAAACTTAGTCCTTAGCAGCTTCTGACTGTGAAGAGGCTTAAACTCTACGTTCCATCTTCATACTGTAGCATGTTTATTTTTTGCATAAATGTATGCTGTTTTTAGCAGAAAACATTTCTGCACTTAAATCCGAAGGCTGTGCCTTAAAGTTACCTTCAGATTCAAACACGAGTGGGCAGTAAACTAGCCTAACTGCGCAGGATAAAACAAATCAACTCACAAGTCTGTTCATAGGAAGTGCTGAGAGTAGACTTCCCTCCAGAATCCAGGCCGGCCTGGGTCACCTTTAACACTAAAAAGCATGACAAATCCAAATCCACAATGCATGGGGAACACCCAGCTTGTACCACAGCCACATTTTTGCCAAATTAACTTCAAACCAAAAACTGTCACTTCACACACAGTAAGAAAGTATCTCAAGGAAGTTGTCACTCTAAGATAAACTTTTAGATAAAAGAGGTTTAAGAAACTCTTGAGATAATGTTTTCTGTTTTTCTTTCTTTCTTTTTTTTTTTTTTGAGATGGAGTCTCAGTCTGTCACCCAGGCTGGAGTGCAGTGGCTCAATCTCAGCTCACTGCAACCTCCGCCTCCCAGGTTCAAGTAATCCTCCTGCCTCAGCCTCCTGAGTAGCCTGAATTACAGGTGCCCACCACCATGCCTGGCTAATTTTTGTATTTTGAGTAGAGACGGGGTTTCACCATATTGGTCAGCTCGGCCTCCCAAAGTGCTGGGATTACAGGAATGAACCACCGCGCCTGACCGAGAGAGAGAAATTATTTGAGAAGGACATTAAAGGATGCCTGGGACACATCCCCAGACCCCACAGTCATGAGGAGAAAATTAATGGATTTTCTCTAAGAGAATAATGGACTGGTGGACCAGGGATTAGCCTTCCAGGAGCAATTTTTTTAGGTTATGTGAATTGCTTATAAGAAATATGTAAGAAAAAGTAAAATCTTTTCACTTGTGAAGTGACTTCTTGAAAGTAAAACTCTAATTCAGAAACAGGATTAAAAACATTACCACCCACATCCCTTCCTGTTGTAATTATTACCATTACTTCTGGATTAGTCTTTCCGTTCAGATCACTCTGCGTAAATCCTGCAAAATCCTCAGTCTCTGAGTCAGTGTCCTCTATAAAAATTCTTCTTAGCTCTTCTGTGAAGTATTTGGAATGAAAGCGCACATCCTGCTAAATTAAAGACACACATACATCAGAGACAGAAAGTAGAATAGAGGTTACCAGGGAAGGGTACAATGAGGAGCTACTGAACGGGTGCAGAGTTTCTGATGGAGATGACGAAAATGGATGGACAACAATGTGAACGTACTTAATGCACTGAACTGTACACATCAAAAACAGCTGAAATGGTATATTTCATGTTATGTGTATTTTACCACAATAAAAAAAAAAACAAAAAACAAACACTGGCCGGGTGCAGTGGCTCACCCTGTAATCCCAGCAGTTTGGGAGACCAAGGCAGGCAGATCACTTGAACTCAGGAGTTCAAGCCTGAGCAACATAGTGAGATCTCGTCTCTGCAAAAAATACAAAAATTAGCTGGGGTCTGGTGGCGTGTACCTGTAGTCCCGGTTACTTGGGAGGCAAAGATGGGAGGATTACCCAACCCTGGGAGGTCGAGGCAGCAGTGAGCTGCACACCACCGCACTCCAGCCTGGGTTGCAGCCGAGATTACACCACTGTCACTCCAGCCTGGGTGACAGAGCGAGACCCTCTTTCAAAAAAACCCACATACATAGATAAATTACATATATACACATTTTCTAAAGCTTACAGAATTCAGACCTACAAATCAGACAATTTTTAAAAATTGGGTGTAGTCTCAATCAGCTTCTAATGTGACTGGTAAGTGCTCATGGAATTCAGCTTCTCCTGCCAAAGCTGGCAACCAGACACGTCTGCTTTCACACAGAACCAAAACACATGGAAAGAAGACATGAGGAGAAAACCTGGCTCCCTCCCACATGCTGGCTTCCCTTTCCAACAGCCTTTCAAAGCCGGAGTCTCCTCCAAGTGGGTGAGCATGCCTCCCATTCACCAACCGTGAGTTTCTCTGTAGGAAAAGGCTGGGGCCTCTCCCAGCCCTCACTGCCCAACACCAGAGAGCCTAGACTTGCTCCATGAGCAGACACCACGGCGGCCTGATGGAAAGCTCACCCAAGGTCACCCCCAGGAGTTTCTCTCCTGCAGGAGGTGAGAGGTGAACCACCATGGTTAGGTGGCAAGTGAGCAGAAGGAAAGATGCAATGTGACTCTTTAAGAAAAGGCATTTTCTAATACTTTTTCTTGCTTTTGAAATAGGGCAAAGAAGGAAACTCAGCTCTCTTAAAAGTATGCTTGAAAGAAAGAGGAAATAAACTGCAGACCAAAGGGAGACCCATGAGACCAGCCTCCTGTAAGCCCGCCACGCCTCATCAGTGTTCGAGTCTGTCCCCAGTTTCCTCTGACGTCTCTTCCCTCCATCCCTGATACAGCAATGACCCCTTGTAACACCACACTTGGCTGAGAATCTGTATCTAACCCCTGCCTTTCCCTGATTTTAATTATATACTTTTTTGGGCTCATATATCTCTGGGGAAAAATAGATAGACAAGTGGAAAAACTTACAGGGGCACACAAAGAAATGCCTACATCTAGCATTCTGTAAGCTTAAAAATGTCTCCTATGAATTATTATGGGTAATTGGAGTGAGTTTGCTCAGAGCTAAATTACTTTGTTCCTTTGTTGATAGCTGTAGTGCAGCTGCTTGAAAAAAAAAATTGCACACACAAAAGGGAAGTTTCTTAAAGTGAAATTCAAATCGTGTTTAAGGGAGACCAGAGTTAGCATACACATACTGTGTGCAAGTTCGCACAGCTTCTCTCTATTGGTTAAAATGGATCATGAGTGTGTGGGGTCAGGATAGAGAAGCAGCCAGGGCTTGATTATTAAGGAAGAATGGTACACAGCTGCTGCTAAGAAAACCCACCATGCACCTGAGGCCTCTCAGTGCAAGAAACATCTGGCTCACAGAGCCTTGGGCCAGCCCCTGCAGGCTAATTTAGGGCGGTATTTCTGTGTGTACATTTCCAACTACCTAAAGCCCTTGCCTAGGGCCTGAAGAGAACAGGGCAAGCCTTGAAGCAGTGAGTTCCCATCTTCCAGTTTTTCTGGCTATTTTGATCTTGTGTGCTGGCCTCACAGGGCAATGGGCATCCTGGGAGAGATCACCATCTTTGATGGTCAGTCCTGATAGAGAAAAACAACTTACCGTTGTCCTAAACTGAGGCCTATGCTTTAGTTTCCTTACTCCAAAGTGTGTAAATACTGTTTTTCATGTGGGTCTGTATGATGCCAACCTCCACTCCACACTGCTCCACTGCATTCTGAGTTAGAAACCCCTGCGCTGCTAATTGCTCTCTGGCACTGGTTCATTCTCCTTCAAAATCAATACTGGGCACTATGCTATGGGCCTTGGTCATCTACCATGATCAGGACAATAAGCAAGTAACACATCAGAGGAGAAGCTAACATAGGTAGATAAACTTATTTTGAAATCCATGTGACATGAAGAAACACACTAGAGAGCAATGGCCTGTTGAACCAGACAGCCAAACACCCCATTTCAACTGCACCCAGCAAACAACAACCCCCGTGCTCACTGTATACAGTCACGTGGGGTGTTGGATGCCTGAAATGAGAGGAAAGGAACAATACATGGGGACGAAAAGTCAGAGCCAGGGAAGCTACAAAGCACCATTCAAGTACGAGGTCCCCCCTTCTTCAAGGAGTTTACAATCTAACAGGGAAGCAGATAGGTCCACAAATAACCCTGGTGAGGGTCAGTGCTCTAAGGGATACACAAGCAATATGGCACATGGAGGGAAAGAAAATCCAGTAAGACTTCATGGAAGAAATAGCATAACTGGATGAGAGCCACAGTAGAGGCTAGAAAAATGGTGACAGCACAGATAGGCAGGAAGGACAGCATGGACCAGTGGGCAGAAAGGGCAGAACAGTGATAATGAGCATGTCAATTCAGTTCCTGCGTCCTGCAGCATAGCAGGTAGAAAAGAGACCCAGGGGGTAAGAGGCTGAGAAGTGGTGGCCCTGGATTTGGAACATCCCAGCTTGGGACTTCCCAGATGTGGGGCCTTGGGCAAGTCATTACACCTTACTGAACTTCAGTTTCATCACTTGCAAAATGGGGATAGTAACAGCACCTGCAGCTTCCCAGGGAGTTCTGTGGATTAAATGCAATATTTGTATGAAAAGCAGTTGGCACACTGTCCTCCCCGGGGAGAACACGCCTGACTACAAAAGTAGTCATCATAGCAGCAGAAGCAGCTGTTCTGTTTCTTAATGCCCGGTGCCTGCCAGGCTCCGTCCTCGGCCCTTTAGACATGTTCTGCCCTGCTCAAATGCTCCTCAAGGTGGATCCAACAGGCTCTGCTCTCCCCACTGCCTGACTGTGCTCAGATGGAGGGCTGAGTAAGGGAGGAGCTGACCACAGCTCAATCCTATAACAGATCCTAGTAGGAAGGGATGAGCATTCAGGTAAGAGCTACGAGGGCTACGGCAGCTGCAGAGGGAAGGGAAAGATGGACACCAGGAACACAGCAGAAGTTTCATCAACTCCTGGACGGGAGTCAAGGAGATGGAAGAGGCGAAGGAAGTCCAAGAACAACAAAAGATGGAGAACCAGATGGGGAAAGGGGGAAGCCAGAAAGACAACCAAGGGAAGGAGAAGTGAGCTTTGGATCTCCCTTAGCAACCAGGACCAGTCCAACTGGTAGTCAGAAACCACCTGGGGCTGCAGAGAGAAGACAAGCTCCACAAAACAATACGGTAACAGCTCAAAGCAGGACAACAGACAAGTTCACTAAGTGAGAAGATTGAAGACAAAACCTTAGAGAACATCCGCATTTAGGGACAGGGACAGGGACAACAAGCGATAGTAACAAAGAGCAGGCCGGGTGCGGTGGCTCTCGCCTGTAATTCCAGCACTTTGGGAGGCCGAGGCGGGTGGATCACCTGAGGTCGGGAGCTCGAGACCAGCCTGGTCAACATGGCAAAACCCCTTCTCTACTAAAAAAAAAAAAAAAAAAAAAAATACAAAAAGAAGCCAGGCATGGTGGCGGGAGCCTGTAATCCCAGCTACTTGGGAGGCTGAGGCTGGGAGAATTGCTTGAACCCGGGAGGTGGAAGTTGCAGTGAGCTGAGATCACACCACTGCACTCAAGCCTGAGCGACAAAGTGATACTCCATCTTGGAAAGAAAGAAAATAATAATAGAGAAAAAGGTGTAAGAGAGAGGAAGAAACTCAGGGGGCTAGAAGGAGGTGGCTGGTGGGGTCAACTGCTGTGGAGATGCCAAATGAGATGAGGACAGCACAGACCAGGGAGCCCCCAGCGATCTCAGAAAGCACAGCTCCCACCCAGGCCAGAACTTACAGCGGCCCGCATAACTAAGCAGGCACTTCACTTACATAATTAACTGCTCCCCTTCCTGTACTTGCCCAGTGGAGGCAAGGTGGATTTAATTTGCTGCCGTTTTGGAGAGGCCCGTGGTCAAGGGAGAATGAGGAATTCTGAGTGCTGCAATGAACTCAGAAGAAAATGCCACTGAAGGGTAGAGATTTTGATTGGCCATTCTACTACAGGACACAATATGACCCTCCAGGAATCTACACCTCTCAGAGAACTAACTTGCGTGTGCTAGAGATCAAAGTAATTAACGCAAGAATAAGGCTCTCCCCAGCAATCCCAAGAGTGACATGCCAACAGAATTGCACCACAGGACCACAGAGGTGCAATTGTCTCCCCGTAACCACACGATCCCTCATGCCTCGCCGCAGCCTCGCCTCTATGGGAAGACTGAACACAGCCTCGCCGCAGGTTACAGCCCCAAGGCAGCCAAGAACATGCACTTGGATCACGTGAAGTCCATTTTAAAAAAAAAAAGAATTATGGTACAGGGAAGGATTAGCACAACAAAGTGAACTAGGTTCTCTCACCAGTTTTTTAAAACAGGAAGACATAATGTTTCTAAAATAAAATGCTAGACAATGAACGGATATCACCAATCTCACACCATGTTCAAATAAAAGAACATCCAAACCAAGATTCAGGCCTCCAGATGCGCACACCTACTTGGAAGGAATCATCCGTACCTGTTTCCCTGACTCCAGTGAGTCAAAACTATCGCAGCTCTCCTCTGACGAGACGGTTTCCATGGGAACATCATCTCGGAAGCCGACAAACTCTTCATCATCACTGGGGGCGTTAAAGATGTCAGCCACTTCTTTAGGGATCTGTTTTGGATTCAAAAGAGGCAGGATTAAACCAGGGGCTCTTGCTAATCACTTAGGGACATTTTCTGGAGGGGAGTAAGAGATCTCATTACTTCATCCAACTGCCACAGTTGCCCAGAAGTCCCCAGTAACCCTGAGCAAAACACGCTTCAGCTAAGAACTCATGGCAAAATAAGGTGTGGGGTGGGTGGGGGAGATAAAACTTAAAATTCTAGATATATCCTATTTTACAGAGAATGTTAAAACCAGGCCATAGAGAAGACATTTTTGATCTCTTGACAAAAAGAAAAATTGTTTGAGAACCAACGTTCTCTTTTTTCTCCTACAGTGGATGCATCTTTAAATGTCATCTACATAAAAAAGATGCCATAAAATATTATTAAGCTCTTTTTTTAGTGTTCAGCTACACTATTTATTTTTCTCTTCTTTGTCATAGGCTGATTCAGAAAGTAGAAAGTTCATACAATGAAATAAGTAGTTTTCCTTCTTTTCTATATTGTAAGTCAACGTAAGTAGTTGGGGATTAATTCTAACAGAATTCAAATGCTATTAGGGGATAACTGATCCCAGAGGGAACAGTGTCAGCACACTTAATCCACACATATGTATCTGCTGGAGTTCATTTTTGTAAGTTGACTATTTTCTCCCAATTCTTTGTTTTAAAAAAAGTTCACACACACACAAAGGTGAACAGATAGTACAAACACCTGTCGAGTCTTTATCTAGACCCATTATTTGTCACTGCATTTGCTTTCTTTCTCTGTTTCAACAAATATTAGGTTGAACCATGGGCATTTGCTGATATTTGGCTGTTTTTAACTTAGGAAAACAGCAATTTAATATGAGCCAACCTAATCCATATATACCCACATTAAAGTAATTTGCAGATATTGTATTGATTGGCCCTCTCATAATTCAGCATATATCTCCCACGGATAAGGACATTCTCCCATAGAACCACAAAACCATAATCGTACCGAAAATAATTAACATTAATAGTACAATTTACTGTAATTCTATATTTTAATACCTGCAACTGTTCCCAAAGTGTCTTTTATAACTTTTTGGAGACAATAAGATCCACTCAAGCAAGGTTTTGCATTCTATTTGATTTTTGTGACACTGTTTTTTGTTGCTTTTCACAACACTGACTTTTTTTTTTAGATAGACCACGACAACTGCCTTGTAGAATGTCATGTATTCTGAGCTTATCTGAGTGTTTCCTCATGATTAGATTCAGGTTATGTATTTTTGGCACCATTCTACATAGGTGACATGTACTCATCAATGCGTTGCATAAGGGGGCACAAAATACCAAGTTATCCCACTATTAATTAATTTTTAATTTTTCATTATAAAAACTTGCAAAGGTATTTCAAAAGTAGACAGGAAGATATTTTAATGAGCACACATTGATCCTCCCAGTAGCTATCTGCCCAAGGCTAACTGTGCTTCCCCCGTATCCCGACCCAACTCCCGTTCTTCCAAATTATTGTGAAGTAACTGTAGACATAGTATCATGTCACTCTGTATCATCAAATGTGCAGTCTGTATTCACAGTTCTTCTGCCTCATTTTTTAAAAACTTAGTTTATCTGCATCGTGATCCAAATAAGGTTCACACACTGATCAACATGGCTCTTACATCCCTTCTCTTCACTCCTTTATCTTTTTTTCTCTTGCAGTTTATTTTTGAAGAAACTGGGTCATTTGACTGTGGAGTTTGTCCAAGTCTGAAGTTTTATTTTTTTGCAGCCCCAAGGTGGCATGTAACAGACTCATCTGGATTTACAATTTGGGAGTTGAATCTGGAGGCTCACTTCTAGTTTGCTTGCTTTTGCCAAGACTACTTTGTAGGAAGTGCTGTGCTCTTCCTTTGGAAAGCACGTAAGGTCTGGCTGTCTCTTTTTTTAGTGGTGTTGCTGTTTCGTCAATAAGTTATAGTGGAATCAGCCTGATTTGTTCTTTGCTTTAAAAAAAATAAAACAAAACAACAACAACAAAAAACATCTTTTCTTCTTTGTCACTAATAAGGAATATGCAGAGTGATACTTGAGATTCTGTGAATATCCTCCCTGATAACATCTCGCTCAATAGTTTCAGCAATCATTGACAGTGCTTTCTTTAAAATTATTTTTTATTTTAATAAAGACAGGATCTATGTTACCCAGGCTGGTCTCAAATTCCTTGCCTCAAGTGATCCTCTCACCTCAGCCTCCCAAAGTGCTGGGATTACAGGCATGAGCCAGTGCAGCCCTGAATCAATTATTACATTAGGAACTGCAAAAGAGAAATTTTCAGATTTTCTCTCTCCTTCATAAAGTAGCTGGCATTCTTATATAACATAGTGTTTCTCTCACTCTCCCCCTTTTCTTCTACCATGCACATCCATGGATTTTTTAAAAGTATTATTCAATGTGTTATAATCCATACTCTCATAATTCTTTCTGACTATCCCAAATTTGGCCATTGGGAGCTCCTTTAAGTCATCCTCTGTCCTTCTGACATGGCACTAGGGGTCTTTCAACACCTCCTTGCTTTCTGACTCAACGAGCATGGCAAACTAACCTTGTATGTTTCCTGTCCCAGACCTCAAATCAGCCATTTCTCCAAGGAGCCCTGAAACCTTTCACTGGGAAATGGCATTTAAAAACCAAGATCGGAGAACACGGTGTACCTCGGTTAATGAAATATCATTGCTTGTAGGCTCTTTGGACAGAGCAAGGATATTTTAAATAGGTAAATCATAAGTTCATGCTGACACCTTGAATTCAAATCCAACACGGAGGCTTCTTCCTCTGCTCCCTCATTTCACATTAGCATCGCCGCTCCACCATAAGGAAAACCCTCAATCCCCAAAATTTTTAATATACTTATCCATGTGGTGCTCTATCTACAATAAATACAAAATAGTGCCAAACTGACGCCACCAATATATACCAACAACAAACAGTGCAGTTCAAGATTTCTTTGCGGTTCTTTCTAGCCCTGGAACATAGTCTCACTATACACAGGATCTTTTCCTTCAGTTAACCAGATGATCACTGCACAAAGTATGGTTATGCAGAAATGTTTTACGTGTACTTCCCATTTCATCATGCAGTATATTAAAAAGATGTCCTTAACAGTTGAGATTTAATAATTTTTACTGTTTCATCAGAACATTCTTATATGAAATTGACATTTTCTTTGTAAATTGAGTGCATGGAAGTGAATAATGCAATGACTACTAATATAGTTTACTGCTACCACCTGGATTCGTGCTAAAGGTCAGCAGTTTTCTCACTTTGGCTTTTGCACAATCAGTGCAAATATCAACACATCAAAAAGGGCAAATAACATCTTAGTATTATTATGACATTACATTTGCCCTCATGGACCCGTGAAAGGGTCTCAGGGTCCTCCATCTCACACTTTGACCACTGTGCTAGCATACACAGAGCTGTGTATTCAAAAGCTACTTAGCTTCTTGGAATTCTCTGTGTGGGTGTGTTGACTTAATTTTACATTTAGTCAGGTTCCATTTAAGAAATTGGTAATCCTTAATCTATTTACTTTCATCATTATTTTAATGCTTCTTGATTAAAAATAATTAGAAAATAATGGTCCAATCAAAGGAAGTATAACATAAATACAGAAATGGGATACCCCAAGTTCAGTGATGCTGAAGGGTTAATACAAACACTTTCCCACCACCTAATAAAATCACTGCAAGGGACACACAAGAATAACACTTACAGAAGTAGAGTTCCACTAACAATTTTTTTTACCAGCCACATGTAGGGCAGCACTAGCAAAGCCTAACTCTGACATCATTCTTGGGGAAAATATTAAAACTCTTCTCTAGGCGGTATGTTAAACAATGTTTGCCACCTTATCTTTTCAAAGACACCTTTTGTTGTTGTTTAGCACTCAGAACTCAGAACTAATACACAAGGAAAACACCCAGACTAGAGAAACACAGACAATACTTATGAAAGTGTGCCCATATTGTAGTTACATAATAGCCACTGAGGCACTGAGAGGGACAGTGTGTCAACTTCAGTCTTTTTCTTTTGAAATTCTCAGCATTCAACAAAAATGAAAAAGCCCTGCTGGCCCAGAAGCTTCTTTTAACATAAATGGTTTAAAGGAGGAGGAGCACCCCATTTACGGATTTAATGGAAATACATATAAGGAATGGAGAGTGTTGGTGATAGGAATAAACTGCTTCCAGCGGCAACTGCATTAGTCCCCGTGGTACTGTGTTCAGCCCCACCCCTGCTGCGAACCTGTGTCCACCTAGCTAATTCCTCCTCCTGCATCTTTGACTTCTGCATCTGCTCCAGAGGTACCATTAGGGGGCTGTAATTACTGATTAGGAACAAAAGGAAAGAGCACACTTTCAAAAAAACAGGGTGCATGCCTGGGATATGCAGGGCTCGATCCTTCAAAACGTATTAAGAGTTTCAGATGGTCACAAGCTTCAGGATTTGGGGAAAAAAAAAAAAAAAAAAAAAAAAAACTCTGTAAAATATTCAAGTGTCCTCAATGCAACAAACTGATTCGTTTAACAGATGCAACAAAGGCAGCAAGATTTATTTGAGAAGGACCTGATAGAAAGGATACACAGGGACCTCTTCTAATGAATGACCAGTTCCACAACATAGCAATACATTAGGCCCAAGGATCTGTCACTTTCCTGTTCCATTCAGCAGTGATCCACTGGGTAGCTGCACAGTCTAGACAAAATGCAACAGACTTTTTTTTTTTTTTTCAAAGTCTGTGTTCCATTCTATCACAATAATGCCAATCGTAAGACTCACCAAAAAGAAAACTACAGCAAGTAACTGAAAACAACAAAAATACAAAATTTCTCAATCATTGGATATTTACATTAGTTGAACTTCTACAAAATTAGGATAACTACAATCTAGTGAACCAAAAAAAGGGAAAATTCTCATCTGAAAGTGAAAAGACCATTTCATTATTTACAATACTTTTTAAAAATCGACAACTTTA